TGCTGGTATGGATAATGTGGAGAGGTACACATATACAGGTGAAACTCGAATAATTAGAATATCGTGCAAAAGTTAATTTATTTCACTAATGCAACTTAAAAGGTGAAACTAATATATGAGATAGACTCATTACATGCAAAGCAAGATAATTCAAGCCGTGATTTGTCATAATTGTGATGATTATGGCTTATAGCTCACGGCCGTCACAGCTCGTCCTGTGGGCGGCTTCTCTCCCCCTCACCGCTGGCCATCCGATATGACAGCGCTCCCTCGTCCGCCCCCCCACTTCGGGGGGAGGGGGCGCAGGAGGGAGCGCTGCCTGCTGTCAGGATGGCGGAGCGGTGAGGGGGAGAGAAGCCGCGCCCGCAGCTGTCAGGATGGCCGAAATTTATTGTTTACCTTCTGTTGTTTTATTTGATAAGAATACTTCTATTGTGCCTACAAGTTTAATACCTTTGAATAAAAGTTTTATTTTTATCACACTTTTTAATATGTTTCTTTGCGGCTTAACAAAATAGGAGTCTTTAAATGGTGCATATATTGGGGGAAATGGGTGTGGTTACGGGGGCATGGCCACTAAAGGGTGTGGCCACTGAGGGGCGCTGTAAAGCTTTCTCGCACAGGGCGCCTAAAGGCCTAAGGCCGGCCCTGTCTGTCTGAAGGGGATTTATTGATGCATGGCTGGTTACAATGTACTACTCAATGTTACTGGAAATATTGTTTGTATATAGAGCATATGACTTTTGTATAGATATTTTTATCCAACTGTCTATACTTCAAATAATGTCATGCTCTGTATACTTTACCTATGCAATCTTATCATTAAATGCCCTGGAAATGTCAAAATATATTTTGAACAATAAATGCTCTTAATGGGAAAAGATGGCTACACCGAATATATACAAAATATATACACATTTATATCAATAGGTAACTATTTTTTTGTTCAAAGGAGATTTAAAAAAATGTGAATTATGGAAGCATGTAAACATCTTTCTTTTCACATAGGTTTATTGCCAACAAAAGCATCAGTTTTTGTTAAAAAAAAACATAGGAAGTGTTGGTCATGGGATAGCTTAAAAGACAGAACTTTGAAAATAAGCTGAGAAGAGCAGAACAGGAAGTTGAGAGACGGGAATAACACAGCTTCATATCATTGGCTAAGTTCAGTGAACATTTATTTTGCTAAGTGAACAATCTCTTAGTAAATAAACTCCATTGCGTGAGCAGTGGATCCATGCTTAGGGGTTCACACCAGGCTTTCCCATTACAGCAAATACCTACTAAGAGGTCACTCTTAAAAGTACATTTGAGGGGATCAGTCCATCCTTAGCGTGGGCTAATCATTCAAAATGTTGTCAATAACAACTACACATACCAGTTCATTCTGAAGAGCTGTTGATAGTCGCATCATGATTTTCCACTTTGACAACTGACATGTTAAGGACACAGCAGAATCAGAAGTACCTCAGCAGCAGCCAAAAAAAGGCACTGCTCAATACAACTCAGTTTAAAATCCAAGCATGGCATTCACCATCATTCAAATGTATATAGAAATCCATGTAGGTAGCAAAACCAAGATGGCTTTATTTACAGCATTTTAAAAGAATTCAGATCACAGCATTAGACCTCTTCCAGACTCTACTATACCAATGTGTTGATATTTGGTTGTGTTTTTGCCCACCAGACATGTACCTCCGCTCCCAGAACTGAAAGGAATGGTAAGGGAGTGATGAAAAGATAAGTATATGCTAGGGAGGGGTATTAAACATAAAGAATGCAAAAATGTTCAACATTTGTTATTGCACTTAACAGGTCAATCCATTGATGACGTTTTCTTTTGGGTAGAAGCTGAAATATTATTATTATTAATAAATATTACTAATTGACATATTTTTGGGAGGATTGGCCTTGTCATTTTCATTGAAAAAACTATGGTTTTGCTATTTGTGTGGGGTTTTCAGTAACTTTGTATTCCGCTCTGGGATCCCAGCTGTACATTTTTATCAGTATGTGTTTCATATAAAACAGTTCAGCTTAAACAGCTTTTTAATTTAGTTAACTAAATGAGCTATAAAGCTAAAAGTTAAGACTGAAAGATTGCTAATCCTATTAAACATGAATCTTTAAAAAAAGTAAAAATTCCAATATCTTTATGGTTGAACTGAGAATGCCCTGCTAGCTAATTACCAAATAAAGTGTTGCCCAAATAAGGGTTTCTAATGAAACAGAATGTCCTGAAATGTACAATTCACATGACTTTAACTATTTATTTGTACATAAGCCAGCCAAAAATAAATTATACATATGTTAATGCTTGCATTTATCATACCATTGGAAAAATGTTAACTTGAAGTGGCCCAATAATGGCGATTTCAGCAATTTTTTGGGAGCTTTAAGAAGAACTGGACCAGAGTTATAATAGTCATCTGCTATGAATTTACATGGGCGACACAAGCTTATTATCACCACCTATGTGTTTGGCATGGCACTAGCGCCTAAAGTGAAACAACACATTTTACCATTAAACAGATACTTCAAGGGCCAGTCCAGGCTCTATCATTACACTGGAAAGGAAAGTTAACTAGCAGAGATGGTAAAATGTCTGTGACAATGCCTGTAATTAGCTTTTCCAAAAGGAGAAAATAATTCTGGGCAAATGCCATTTATACATGGCAGACATGTAACAGCTACCAGACACACATGCTGACAAAGTCCAGTAAGCTACACCAGTACTGGCTGTGTATAAGTGTCTTGGGTTCCGCAAAGGCCATTGGATGCTTTAGACACCCAGTGGAAAAAACATTTAAAGTGATCCTGTCAGCAGAGGGTAACTTGTAAAGAATAACCGTAATAAAAGAGGGACTATACATACCCTTTTGACAGACCTTTTGTTGAAATGTCACCTCTTCGATGCTAGGCAGCCACTGTTGACTTCACACTTCTAGGTGGGGGTATACCTGTACCCCCACCATACACTGTGGTTTCTCCCATTAGCATGTAAGTCACTAGTGAATGTACAAGCTGTAAGAAAGCCATTCTGTATGCTGGGAGAATCAGGTATTTAATCAATCCGGCTGGTTGAATACCTTCAGTGGCCAGTGAGAAGCAAAGAGGCAGCATTTCATAAACAGACCACTGGAAAATATATTGTAGTATAGAGCCTCTTTTATTACATGTATCTCATTCTTTACCCTTTAGGGTACATGCCACATAAAATGGTCTTCCCTCTTTTGTAAAGGCTTGTTTGCATGAGTATACCAGAGACAACTGTTTGTGGTCCATTGTATACTAAAACACATACCTATACTTAAGGGAGGGGAAATATGGGGGTGGTCATTGTTGACCTTTAGAACATGCTAGTTGCTTAGCTGTTTTGCTGATCCTTAATACTTTGCCATCAACCGAGAACAAGTAAGCATAGAATGAAGTAAGCACAAAGTTAAAGGTTATCACCAGCATGTGTGTTCTGGCCTAGAGATTTAAAGAGTTGAAGCAAGAGGGTTAATGTGAAAGCGAGAAGGCAACTAGCATTTGCAGAATGAGAAGTAAGCAATGCCTGCATGTCTATCTTAGGAAAGGCATCATTTTATTAAAAAATATATTCAAAGCCAAAAATGTTTTTTTAGGCTGTTGAAGTATTAGAACCCTTGTTAGTTTTTTTAATGCTGTCTGTGTTTCTGTTGTTGAAATGTATCCTTTCTATTTGTCTTGGTGATCATTGTCACCAGCACAGAAAGTGATAAGAAATCTTATTTTACAGCTGTCATTAAAACTGGTGTAGATGGCAAATCTACCTGTTACAATGGCAACTGTCTAAAGGTGGCCAAACACATTTGAGTTATTTGTGATCCCCTAAAAGTCTAATAATAATCTATTAAAAACAACATTTAAGCAATCTGAATTACGACTGGTTCTCTGACACACACAGAGATACTTGTTCGATCAATCAAACAATTGACATACAGTAATTCCAGCATGGTCAATCAACTTGGCAGACCCTAAATCAATGGATAACTTAATACTTCTATTGAATGGAGAGTCTATGGTTTGATCAGTCTTTATGCACTGAATGTCGATACGTGTCCGACTACCATAAGCCCCCATTCTCACCTGAGCGTTTTGTCACGTTTTTGCACATTTATGTACAACAATTCTCAAGATCAGAATTACATTCTTTTGATTTGTGACTTCCCATCTCTACACTCAGTCGCTTGAAGCTTGTAAAGTACATGAGCTTTATTTGGATCTGTGTTGTGCATGTTTTGCTTTGTAGACTTTCCTGAAAATGTCTGTTGACAGATGTTTCTGCACACCTTTTTGAGCCTGAAAAACTGCTCTCCTTCTCTAGAACTTTTCACTGGCCAAAACAAATGACTATAGCTTGATATACATGCAAACTGCTTGCACAAAGCTTGCAAAATGCTTTAAAATATGTGTTTATGTGTGTAAATATGCACAAAAACAAAATAAAACAATGCTTTCAATTCACCAGAAATATACTCTGCTCAGGTGTGAATGCAGGCTAGGAGGGGATTTTCCCTCACTTTGGAAAGATTATCTTTTTGTTGTATGTCCAGGGCAGGAAGTGCGGAGAAATATCACCTACTAAGAAAACGTTTTGGCTTTAAATATACGGTACTTTAATATAGCAGTTATAGCAAAGCTTGTAGAAGTGGGGGATACAATACAATTAGAAATGTTATACAATAATTTTATGTTGTGGTCCAGACCTTGGTTCTAATCTAATAGAATGTAGCAGGTGTGAGGGTTAAATATTTTTTATTGTATTCTATTCCCCAACTCGTAAAATGCTCTGTTCTGTGTACTGGCACTCAATCTCTTCTTTGAATAATAAGTCATCTGGACATCTATGCTACTTGTGCAAATTTAGCAGATAAATATTGAAATTTCCAAAAGAAGAATAACAAGTTCTCATGTTCTACGAAAACTTCATAGAATAAAAAATAATGTACTATAAAAATGATCTTTGCATTCACCTTCACTCTTTTTCCAGTACACTTTGACCTGAAGTTGATTATCCTGGTAGAACGGGGCTCCGATTTCAAGCATGTGAGCTGTGCGCTTTCTTTGAGGTGAAACTAAAGTATCCGTCTTCATTTTGCTGACTTTTGATACTTGATCCTCTGAAAATAATTAAATGATTTATTAGGAACCAAAAAACGATTTTATGAACAAAAAATGCATACATTGATTTTAATTTACTGCAAATTGCTTCAATATAGTATTGGTGGAATGTTTTTAAATATACAAACACAGAGTTTAGTAACATACATTCTTTACTGATACTTTTTGCTTCTAGACAGTATTAGTAGTGCAGACAGTAAACCAGTTTTTGTGTATTAATATTTTGAATATGGTATGTTATTTTTAGTTTGGATAAATACCTTTGGGTCACACATGAAACATGACTTGTTAAGACCCAAACAATGCTGAGTCTAAACATTAAATATAATGTATTATGGGGTGTATTTATAAAATGTTTGCAGAGCTGTTCGCTCTGCAAATATCTGTGTTGTTGATTCGCACTCCATTAGGGCCGCTAGATGGAGCCAAGGAGCATAGGAAGCTAGCTCTGCAAATGTTTTATAAATAAACCCCTATGTATTTCTTTTTTACTTCACCCAATAAGTACTTTCAGTTATTTTGGTTTTATTGTTTCTAAAAAGCAAAACTATTTTGTTTGTCCACAACTAAAGTACACTACATACTAAATAAATGCATAAAACAATAATAATGTAAAAATAATTAAAAATACATATAAAAATAATAATTTTTAAAAGTACATGCATACATTTTCTAAAACCTTTAACCTGCCCCCCGCCCTAGCTTGGATTTCAAGTCAGACTACATTTCTACCTTCTGGGCTGTTGAAATCGTAGGAGGCCTCAACCTTTGAATATGGTAAGTAAGCACCTGCTGGAGGGGAGCTTAGATCTTTATACCAAGTGCATTACATGCAATGTACATCCAAACTGCCTATTTTATTATATTTATTACATATTACTTTCTTTGTCATAGTGACAACACTAAATCCCTTGTAGTGATATTGCTGTGTTGTTATCACCATGTACAGCCATTGTGAAGCAAGTGTGGTCCTACAGGGCTTACTGCATTTGGATAAAAAAAAATCCTAGTTACGCATAGTAGACAGTATTTGTATGTACTTACTACTGGAACTTGATGGCCCTGATGAGAAGTATAATGAGACTTTTGCACTTTTCAAACGGATTTGTCCCCAATATGCAATGGCTTGAATCTCAACCATATAATTGCTGTTTGGCTGCAATGCCTCTAGAATCACATTGTTTTGGTTCTGGAAATTAAAAAAAAAGGTACAACAAATGTCACAATTAATAGAATTATTTTCTACTTCTCATTATTGTAGAATTTTATTCAGATATAAACTTATTGGGGGTGATTTACTAACCTAAACACACGCACGCACCAGGTGCGTGTGATTTTCACATAGCAAAACGTATTTATCAACCAAAAAGTCTCTAAAAGCATATTTCCACTAATGCCATATATGGAAAAATCATGCACATGATGCATATATAATGCTGCGTCACAGTTTAGACAAAATGGTTAGCTCATACATTTACATTCCTGCATTCATCAACGCAAGCAACACAACATAGAGCTAATTTACACAACATCACCTTGTAATTCATGCAGGGCTTTGCACAACACACCTGCTGGGTGTGTACACACTACAAAGGTGTTTAGATTCCACCCATAGATCATGCTGGGAGGGAACACACTACAGAGGTGTATACATGTTCGTGGTGTGTTTATAAGGTTAGTAAATCAACCCCATTAAGTCTAGCAACTGGAATTTGTCAATATACCAGTCCAGTCATTGGATAAACACTCAGATAGGGTCCCTTGGTAAATTAGTATTCTGCCTGATCACCGAGAACAGCTATCCACCTCTTATCCAAAAATATTTTGTGGAAGACACATCTATGAAAATACCGCTTAATGAGTCAAAATAAAAAAATGAATACAAATAGGGTTTCTCTAACCTCTGATCTTTTTGGCACCTATGCCTGTGGGATATCAACCTTATAGAGGAACCAACAAGTAATGACACAGGCTTATTAGTTATATATTGATTTTTACAGTTGCCCATTAAAAGGTATCAAACATAACAGTTTTGATTATTGTCTCCTTAGAACTAAATATATTTGAGATGAGATAAGTCAACAGTTTTGATTATTGTCTACTTAGAACTAAATATAGTTGAGATGAGATAAGTTAAGTTATCTCATCTCAACTATATTTAGTTCCAAGGAGACAATAATCAAAACTGTTATGTTTGATACCCTTTAATGGGCAACTGTAAAAATCAATATATAACTAAAAACTAACTAATAATGAATTAATAACTATAACTAACTAAGAACTAATTCCTCCAGCAGGTGATTTCTGTAGGCTTGTCTATCACTAAGTTTGCAAATCTACATGAATACATTCTAGACATTTCACAATGTTTTATTTCATGTAAAAGTACCTTTTATTGTTAAAATGCATTAATTGGCCTAAAGCCAAGTGACTGTGGCTCAGTTTCTCAATGTCTGCCTTAGAAAAGGAATATGGGAGAATAATGTCATCACAGCTTAAAGCAAGAACACAGGGTTTCCAAAACGTTCCCTCCCCCAGAAATCATCCAGACTGTACATTGTAACATTCTGGCAGTAGCATGGGGCTGATCTGTGTGTTTCATCTGTGTCCCATTGGGAAAATTTCCCTTCACTTCTTGTCTGATAGCCACAACAGGAAGTGAGAGGAAATTCCTCTAAGATTAGTGAAATCCCTGGTGATCAGCTTGGTCACCAAAACTAGTGTCCCCATTGGAAGATTTCTTGTTCTGGTGACAACCAACAGTTTCAGATTTTCTTTCACTTTCTGTGATAATGGTCACCAGGACAAATAGTGAGAGTAAATCTCCTTAAAGAGGAACTTTACCCAGATCTTCAAAATAACAACAAAGACACCTGTAGAATTGTTTAGTAAGGACAATTGCAGGCTTTTAAATTTTTTGTATATCCTATTTTTCTTTTCTTGTCCAGTCTTCTGCACATTTTAACTAAGGGCAGGTTACTAGATCTTCCATTACTTCCTGGAACTATGGCACATGTGACTAGCACATGTGACCATGCACATCATCTTAGGGGAGGAAAATGCCTTTCCCTGGATCTCGTGAGATTACAGATGAGGTTTCCCAGCAATGCTCTGCTGATGTAACCTTTACAGAATGCAATGCTTGGGTATGATTACATAATTTGCAACAAAAAGAAGGAAGTGGAAAAAAAGAAATTGTAAGTAAAATAAAAAATGTTTGTTTAACTAATGAATGTAAGATGATTTCATATCAGCATGCAGAGCTGTATGTTGATGTTATTTTTAGTCAAAGGGGGTACAGGTCCACTTTAACAGGCACACAGACAGCAATAAAAACGGGTGTTCTAATCCCTCTCCACTCTATCCAAAACTAAAAAGAAAAAAAGTTTTTGCTCCAGTTATACTTTAAATAGTCTGACCCTGGATGATGTCTGAACAAAAAGGTTCATCTACAGTATGTCTACTGTTTAAGAACTTTTCCCATTTACACATACAGTATACAGACGTTAATTGTATATATTTTGGTAGATAAATTAATAGTTGGATACTAGCAAGCACTGACTAATAAAACCTGGTTAACATAGTTAAAAAATGCAAGACCATCAATAAATATAATAAATATTAATTACCCCTTCTGTTGTCTTCCTGCGCTTCTTTTTGGTTGGAACAACAGATTTGCCATGTGATGTCCAACTCCAAAACACTTTATAATGATGTACTGGTATATCAGGTTCCTCTGGGAGATCCCATGTAACTCGTACAGTTGTTGTTCCATCATTGTTTGTGGTGGAATTGATTATCCTGAGGTTAGTCGGTGCTGGTGGAGCTGATGGATCTGAAAAAAAAAGTTTATCTTTTTTCAATTTGTCCTCAAATATAAATTCTACTGTTTTGTAAATCTATATTTTCTGGTTCTTACATACATAGTTCAGTAAGTGAAAAATCTGTGCACACTGCCATTTCGCTGATATATACTTCAAGTGAATCTTTCATTAAGTTTACAAGTCTAAATTAATACATTCCTGACATGTCACCATATACAGCTACAGTATACGTTTTCACAAAAACTCTATTTGTATCTTTTGTACAGGACACCAGGAATGGGTCCTGGATGGACGGTATATCCCTCGCTTGTTTAGGTGGTGGTCCCGTTAAAGTCACCTTGTATTCAGAGCCTCCATCCCTGACTACAGCCAGTTCTGTTAATGAAAGGGTTAAACCACCAGCCAGAGGGTGTGTTAAAAAGGAACAGGAAGCCAGTCAGTCTGGCTGTGTGGAGTGTTTGGAACAGGACACATGGCTATGTGTGTCAAGCTGTGGAATACAGTCTGCCGAGACACTGCTGGGGCACCTGCGTCCATACTGGAACCCTATGTGCGCAGGCTGGGACTCTAACCCTGAGGTGGGACTTAGTATACAGGCGCTTAGCCGAAGTCTTGTGTTTGCTGAATATAAGCCATTTACTTTGAATGTTTGTGGAAATGAATAAACGTTTATTGTCTGATACGGCTGGCTACGGGTCATATCCGCCCTGAATATTAAACTTTATAAAAGCTGTTCTTAAGCTCCAGTCCAGTGACTTTGTCTAGGCTGAGATGATGTTGCGAGTCTGCTGCAAGCTGGAGAAAGCATTTCCTCAGTCTAGAATCCATCAGTGATCAGATTCATTAATTGTAACTTCCATCCTTGAGTGCTGGTCAGTGGTGGATCCAGCCATCTTTACAGACTATTGTAAGTTTATTGAACTAAACAAACTGCACTAAGTATTCAAATGCATTTGCATAGGTAAACTATTAACTCTGTGTAAATAAAAAATATGATTTTCTTGTAGAAAGACAGTAGCCTTTTTCCTGAAGAAGCGGATCCCCGTGAAACGCGTCGAAATCTGTTCTCCTCCCAAGGGACTACGAATTAAACTAGGAAGCTGATATCCAGCAAATTGTAACAAGTATCGTAATATAGATAAAAATGTGGGAGGATGCGGCTACATCCTATGGTCTCTTTTAGGCAATCTTGTTTGTCTTTCTTTTTTAAACATTATGCATTTTAAATATATTTATAAGTAAAAATGTGTTTTGTGTGATCCTTGAAGTACCTTAAAAGTCCAAATCCTCCTTTTTTCTTTTTTATGACATTAACTTCCTTTAAGGTAAGAGGCTGGTCTGTGTGTAGTATTTTTGAAGAACAAAAATAAAGAAAACATTTAAATTAATGGAAAAAAAAACTGACTGAAAAAAAACTTGCAAAAATAGATCCATGACTAATATGTAAAGCCGAAGGTGGGCATTCAAGATACTTGGAGAACACATGTCATTTTAGGTTATTTCACATTTAAAGAAGAACTCCAGTAAATGTAAAAGTTAACCCTTGCAGTGGGGCTACTGCCCCACTGCAAGGGTCAACTGCACGTTTTGGCAAGGGCTAAAATAAAGAAAATATAATCACTTGATTCTTGGTCTTGATTGGCTTTCAGACTGGTCACCATAGCCTCTTCCCCCCCAGGCTCATGTGCCCTAAGAACCTTTGACTTCAAATGTAATGCAGCTGCATTAGACATGGTGGAACACAGGGACAAACCACAACCAGAGTGGAGGGGAAGAGAGGTGAGCAGTCACAGCCACAGGGCCAGGATTGGGTGAGTATATTTTAGCCCCTACACCAAAATGAGCAGTTAATCCTTGCAGGGTGGGGGTATCCATACCGCAAGGGTTCATTTTTACATGTCATAGGGTTCTTCTTTAAATGCACAATAACCTAAAATGACATGTGTTCTCCACTCATCATGAATACTCACCTTCTGCTTTACATATTAGTCATGGATCTATTTTTACAAGGTGTAAGTTTTTTCAGCCAGCTCTTGTGTTATTTTATACCACATGTTAAGCTGTCCTTTCAGTGGCAGTTACCTCCATTCATGGAAATGCATCTCTGCTCAATTGGATATATGTCACAATATAGTCACAGATATGTACTTCACATGAGCCTCGCTGAGTATAAAAATAGCAGGTCAAGTGGAGCGTCACTCATAGTTGAGGAACAAAAGGAGAGGGAGCTTGAAAGCCTTTAACAAAATGAGGTCAGGCATTCTTTTAACTTCAGCGTGCACCTGGATGTTTTTGCAGTGCTAAATTAGCTATTTAATACATTTCCACGCTCACTGCATTAGTCAAATAATCAACATAATAACTACAATCCCCTCTCTTTGTTTGAGGTAATCTTCCATGATCACACTCAACTGAAATAAGTTCTTACTCATTGTATAACAGTTGTTAAAAGAAAAGATTCTCAGAAAAATTAGATGGCATGAAAAGGCAATTATTCTGTCTAATGTATTAATAGAATGTGTTACAGCTGAGCAATCTAATTTTATCTCTTAACAACAATGTACTAAAGATGGTGTCATTTCATTTTAAGACAACCATTATAACGTCAATGGCTGTCATTGTAAAATATGTTTGTTTGACACCTAACTGATTGGTGCCAAGATACAACAAATGTCACAATTAATAGAATTATTTTCTACTTCTCATTATTGTAGAATTTTATTCAGATATAAACTTATTGGGGGTGATTTACTAACCTAAACACACGCACGCACCAGGTGCGTGTGATTTTCACATAGCAAAACGTATTTATCAACCAAAAAGTCTCTAAAAGCATATTTCCACTAATGCCATATATGGAAAAATCATGCACATGATGCATATATAATGCTGCGTCACAGTTTAGACAAAATGGTTAGCTCATACATTTACATTCCTGCATTCATCAACGCAAGCAACACAACATAGAGCTAATTTACACAACATCACCTTGTAATTCATGCAGGGCTTTGCACAACACACCTGCTGGGTGTGTACACACTACAAAGGTGTTTAGATTCCACCCATAGATCATGCTGGGAGGGAACACACTACAGAGGTGTATACATGTTCGTGGTGTGTTTATAAGGTTAGTAAATCAACCCCATTAAGTCTAGCAACTGGAATTTGTCAATATACCAGTCCAGTCATTGGATAAACACTCAGATAGGGTCCCTTGGTAAATTAGTATTCTGCCTGATCACCGAGAACAGCTATCCACCTCTTATCCAAAAATATTTTGTGGAAGACACATCTATGAAAATACCGCTTAATGAGTCAAAATAAAAAAATGAATACAAATAGGGTTTCTCTAACCTCTGATCTTTTTGGCACCTATGCCTGTGGGATATCAACCTTATAGAGGAACCAACAAGTAATGACACAGGCTTATTAGTTATATATTGATTTTTACAGTTGCCCATTAAAAGGTATCAAACATAACAGTTTTGATTATTGTCTCCTTAGAACTAAATATATTTGAGATGAGATAAGTCAACAGTTTTGATTATTGTCTACTTAGAACTAAATATAGTTGAGATGAGATAAGTTAAGTTATCTCATCTCAACTATATTTAGTTCCAAGGAGACAATAATCAAAACTGTTATGTTTGATACCCTTTAATGGGCAACTGTAAAAATCAATATATAACTAAAAACTAACTAATAATGAATTAATAACTATAACTAACTAAGAACTAATTCCTCCAGCAGGTGATTTCTGTAGGCTTGTCTATCACTAAGTTTGCAAATCTACATGAATACATTCTAGACATTTCACAATGTTTTATTTCATGTAAAAGTACCTTTTATTGTTAAAATGCATTAATTGGCCTAAAGCCAAGTGACTGTGGCTCAGTTTCTCAATGTCTGCCTTAGAAAAGGAATATGGGAGAATAATGTCATCACAGCTTAAAGCAAGAACACAGGGTTTCCAAAACGTTCCCTCCCCCAGAAATCATCCAGACTGTACATTGTAACATTCTGGCAGTAGCATGGGGCTGATCTGTGTGTTTCATCTGTGTCCCATTGGGAAAATTTCCCTTCACTTCTTGTCTGATAGCCACAACAGGAAGTGAGAGGAAATTCCTCTAAGATTAGTGAAATCCCTGGTGATCAGCTTGGTCACCAAAACTAGTGTCCCCATTGGAAGATTTCTTGTTCTGGTGACAACCAACAGTTTCAGATTTTCTTTCACTTTCTGTGATAATGGTCACCAGGACAAATAGTGAGAGTAAATCTCCTTAAAGAGGAACTTTACCCAGATCTTCAAAATAACAACAAAGACACCTGTAGAATTGTTTAGTAAGGACAATTGCAGGCTTTTAAATTTTTTGTATATCCTATTTTTCTTTTCTTGTCCAGTCTTCTGCACATTTTAACTAAGGGCAGGTTACTAGATCTTCCATTACTTCCTGGAACTATGGCACATGTGACTAGCACATGTGACCATGCACATCATCTTAGGGGAGGAAAATGCCTTTCCCTGGATCTCGTGAGATTACAGATGAGGTTTCCCAGCAATGCTCTGCTGATGTAACCTTTACAGAATGCAATGCTTGGGTATGATTACATAATTTGCAACAAAAAGAAGGAAGTGGAAAAAAAGAAATTGTAAGTAAAATAAAAAATGTTTGTTTAACTAATGAATGTAAGATGATTTCATATCAGCATGCAGAGCTGTATGTTGATGTTATTTTTAGTCAAAGGGGGTACAGGTCCACTTTAACAGGCACACAGACAGCAATAAAAACGGGTGTTCTAATCCCTCTCCACTCTATCCAAAACTAAAAAGAAAAAAAGTTTTTGCTCCAGTTATACTTTAAATAGTCTGACCCTGGATGATGTCTGAACAAAAAGGTTCATCTACAGTATGTCTACTGTTTAAGAACTTTTCCCATTTACACATACAGTATACAGACGTTAATTGTATATATTTTGGTAGATAAATTAATAGTTGGATACTAGCAAGCACTGACTAATAAAACCTGGTTAACATAGTTAAAAAATGCAAGACCATCAATAAATATAATAAATATTAATTACCCCTTCTGTTGTCTTCCTGCGCTTCTTTTTGGTTGGAACAACAGATTTGCCATGTGATGTCCAACTCCAAAACACTTTATAATGATGTACTGGTATATCAGGTTCCTCTGGGAGATCCCATGTAACTCGTACAGTTGTTGTTCCATCATTGTTTGTGGTGGAATTGATTATCCTGAGGTTAGTCGGTGCTGGTGGAGCTGATGGATCTGAAAAAAAAAGTTTATCTTTTTTCAATTTGTCCTCAAATATAAATTCTACTGTTTTGTAAATCTATATTTTCTGGTTCTTACATACATAGTTCAGTAAGTGAAAAATCTGTGCACACTGCCATTTCGCTGATATATACTTCAAGTGAATCTTTCATTAAGTTTACAAGTCTAAATTAATACATTCCTGACATGTCACCATATACAGCTACAGTATACGTTTTCACAAAAACTCTATTTGTATCTTTTGTACAGGACACCAGGAATGGGTCCTGGATGGACGGTATATCCCTCGCTTGTTTAGGTGGTGGTCCCGTTAAAGTCACCTTGTATTCAGAGCCTCCATCCCTGACTACAGCCAGTTCTGTTAATGAAAGGGTTAAACCACCAGCCAGAGGGTGTGTTAAAAAGGAACAGGAAGCCAGTCAGTCTGGCTGTGTGGAGTGTTTGGAACAGGACACATGGCTATGTGTGTCAAGCTGTGGAATACAGTCTGCCGAGACACTGCTGGGGCACCTGCGTCCATACTGGAACCCTATGTGCGCAGGCTGGGACTCTAACCCTGAGGTGGGACTTAGTATACAGGCGCTTAGCCGAAGTCTTGTGTTTGCTGAATATAAGCCATTTACTTTGAATGTTTGTGGAAATGAATAAACGTTTATTGTCTGATACGGCTGGCTACGGGTCATATCCGCCCTGAATATTAAACTTTATAAAAGCTGTTCTTAAGCTCCAGTCCAGTGACTTTGTCTAGGCTGAGATGATGTTGCGAGTCTGCTGCAAGCTGGAGAAAGCATTTCCTCAGTCTAGAATCCATCAGTGATCAGATTCATTAATTGTAACTTCCATCCTTGAGTGCTGGTCAGTGGTGGATCCAGCCATCTTTACAGACTATTGTAAGTTTATTGAACTAAACAAACTGCACTAAGTATTCAAATGCATTTGCATAGGTAAACTATTAACTCTGTGTAAATAAAAAATATGATTTTCTTGTAGAAAGACAGTAGCCTTTTTCCTGAAGAAGCGGATCCCCGTGAAACGCGTCGAAATCTGTTCTCCTCCCAAGGGACTACGAATTAAACTAGGAAGCTGATATCCAGCAAATTGTAACAAGTATCGTAATATAGATAAAAATGTGGGAGGATGCGGCTACATCCTATGGTCTCTTTTAGGCAATCTTGTTTGTCTTTCTTTTTTAAACATTATGCATTTTAAATATATTTATAAGTAAAAATGTGTTTTGTGTGATCCTTGAAGTACCTTAAAAGTCCAAATCCTCCTTTTTTCTTTTTTATGACATTAACTTCCTTTAAGGTAAGAGGCTGGTCTGTGTGTAGTATTTTTGAAGAACAAAAATAAAGAAAACATTTAAATTAATGGAAAAAAAAACTGACTGAAAAAAAACTTGCAAAAATAGATCCATGACTAATATGTAAAGCCGAAGGTGGGCATTCAAGATACTTGGAGAACACATGTCATTTTAGGTTATTTCACATTTAAAGAAGAACTCCAGTAAATGTAAAAGTTAACCCTTGCAGTGGGGCTACTGCCCCACTGCAAGGGTCAACTGCACGTTTTGGCAAGGGCTAAAATAAAGAAAATATAATCACTTGATTCTTGGTCTTGATTGGCTTTCAGACTGGTCACCATAGCCTCTTCCCCCCCAGGCTCATGTGCCCTAAGAACCTTTGACTTCAAATGTAATGCAGCTGCATTAGACATGGTGGAACACAGGGACAAACCACAACCAGAGTGGAGGGGAAGAGAGGTGAGCAGTCACAGCCACAGGGCCAGGATTGGGTGAGTATATTTTAGCCCCTACACCAAAATGAGCAGTTAATCCTTGCAGGGTGGGGGTATCCATACCGCAAGGGTTCATTTTTACATGTCATAGGGTTCTTCTTTAAATGCACAATAACCTAAAATGACATGTGTTCTCCACTCATCATGAATACTCACCTTCTGCTTTACATATTAGTCATGGATCTATTTTTACAAGGTGTAAGTTTTTTCAGCCAGCTCTTGTGTTATTTTATACCACATGTTAAGCTGTCCTTTCAGTGGCAGTTACCTCCATTCATGGAAATGCATCTCTGCTCAATTGGATATATGTCACAATATAGTCACAGATATGTACTTCACATGAGCCTCGCTGAGTATAAAAATAGCAGGTCAAGTGGAGCGTCACTCATAGTTGAGGAACAAAAGGAGAGGGAGCTTGAAAGCCTTTAACAAAATGAGGTCAGGCATTCTTTTAACTTCAGCGTGCACCTGGATGTTTTTGCAGTGCTAAATTAGCTATTTAATACATTTCCACGCTCACTGCATTAGTCAAATAATCAACATAATAACTACAATCCCCTCTCTTTGTTTGAGGTAATCTTCCATGATCACACTCAACTGAAATAAGTTCTTACTCATTGTATAACAGTTGTTAAAAGAAAAGATTCTCAGAAAAATTAGATGGCATGAAAAGGCAATTATTCTGTCTAATGTATTAATAGAATGTGTTACAGCTGAGCAATCTAATTTTATCTCTTAACAACAATGTACTAAAGATGGTGTCATTTCATTTTAAGACAACCATTATAACGTCAATGGCTGTCATTGTAAAATATGTTTGTTTGACACCTAACTGATTGGTGCCAAGTAAATCTATGGCATTCCATTTTTAGAAAAAAATGTGCTGCAGCACTTAATTGGATGTGCAACCGAACCTACCAATTTTTCTTAGTGCCCCAACAAAGACCCAAAAATACCAGATGACCCTGCCAGTGAATTCCAGATAATGCAGCTTCCTGTGTAAGTAAAAAACAATTTAAAATGGAAGAAGCAATTGTTTTTTTTATTTAAGTTATGTTTTGTGCATGGAAACATGTAAAACATATAAAGTAGGTGTTATCACAAAATATGAATTATATTGCTCACAACTTCAATTTGATCTCTGCTGTAGAGTTTCAGGTAGTGAGACTGTCTGAGTACTGTATAAATTGGAAGATTATGCTTTTAAAAACCAGTTCACTTCCCGTTATCTTTTATCATTGTGACCTGCAACCTTGAAGCCTTGAAGTGGTGCTAAAGACAAGCTTTCCAGCACTCAGAAACATTAAAGACATATCCTTAGGATTCCTCTGCATTTGGCGAATGACACACATAAGCCAGCTGCTTGACATTAGAAAATCATTAGTCCCAAGAGGGAGAGAGAAAGATTTTTATTGTAGGCAGTGGGTGTCTGTTTTGATTTTAATAGCACTCAACAACGTAACCATGAAATCACTCTCAACATGGGATTTATGCCTCAAGAAAGAAGGGACTGCAGCTTTTTTTTTAAAGGTTTGTCCTGCCAATGCTCAACACTTGTTTAGTAGACTAAATATGTGTACCAAAGGCTTTGTTCACAAGAACTTCACTTGTCATACATACAAAGCAACAGGTCATTTGCACTTGGATTTTTTTTGTAGCTTAAATACATTTTTATGGTTGCTAATCATAATAATAGAATTGCAACTCTGACCCTATGGGGGAGAAGTCAGTGTTCTGTATTGATGCTAATTATAAAAATATGAACAGGGCTATTCACAAAAGGGTGAAGAGTTTGGAGAAGTGAACAATCTAGGACAACATAGCTGAACTGGAAAGTGAGCTGAATTGGAAGTTTTTTCCAAACCAGCTACACTATATTGCCAAAAGTATTGGGACGCTTTGTTTTGTAGCGCGTTCAACGCTCGACAAACACTCTACAAATGCTCAAACATCTAAATCCCATTGTATTCAATGGGTCTGGTTCACATCTTGCCGTATTTCCGCCTGTCCGAACGTGATACAAAACGGCCTACGCCCAAAGAAGTACATGTAATTCTTTGGGGCGTTTTGGTCTCGCGTTTCCATTGGGATACAGCCAAGTAGCCCACGAAAACTCGCGTTTGTCGCGCGTTTTTTACCGTGAATCGCGACGCGAACCGTGCGACAAACGAGCATATTCAATACGCCTAGGTGTGAACCCAGCCTTACATGCTCATGAACTTTGATGGCATCCCAGTCTTAGTCTGTAGGATTCAATATTGAGTTGGCCCACCCTTTGCAGCTATAACAGCTTCAACTCTTCTGGGAAGGCTGTCCACAAGGTTTAGGAGCATGTCTATGGGAATGTTTGACCGTTCTTCCAAAAGCGCATTTGTGAGGTCAGGTACTGATGTTGGACAAGAAGGCCTGGCTCGCAGTCTCTGCTCTAATTAATCCCAAAGGTGTCCTGTACCCTGAACTTGCTTATCTATGTCTTTATGGACCTTGCTTTGTGCACTGGTGCGCAGTCATGTTGTAACAGGAAGGGGCCATCTCCAAACTGTCCCCACAAAGTTGGGAGCATGAAATTGTCCAAAATGTCTTGGTATGCTGATGCCTTAAGAGTTCCCTTCACTGGAACTAAGGGGCCAAGCCCAACCCCTGTAAAACAACCCCACACCACCAAACTTTACACTTGGCACAATGCAGGCAGGCAAGTACCGTTCTCCTAGCAACCGCCAAACCCAGACTCCCCCATCGGATTGCCAGACAGGGAAGCGTGATTTGCCACTCCAGAGTACACATCTCCACTTCTCTAGAGTCCAGTGGCGGCGTGCTTTACATCACTACATCCGACCCTTTGCATTGCACTTGGTGATGTAAGGCTTGGATGCAGCTGCTTGGCCATGGAAACCCATTCCATGAATCTATCTATGCACTGTTGTTGTGCCAATCTGAAGGTCACACGAAGTTTGGAGGTCTGTAGCTATTGACTCTGCAGACAGTTGGTCGACGTCTGCGCACTATGCGCTTCAGCATGTGCTGCCCTCGCTCAGTCAATTTACGTGACCTACCACTTCGTAGCTGAGTTGCTGTTGTTCCCAGTTGCTTCCACTTTGTTATAATACCACTAACAGTTGCCCGCGGAATGTTTAGTAGCAAGGACATTTCATCGATCACCTGAATCCAATGATTTGGAGGGGTGTCCCAATACTTTT